TGGTCGTTAGATAGAATCCCGGTGAGGGCAAATATACTTTTTTGTGGTTTAATTAATTAATTTTATATCTTACTTTAGCTTTATTTACTTTTTAATTAAAAGTATTCATAAAAATATTATTTAAAATCATCTATGTAAAGTTTATGCTTAAAAGTATCCTGAATATATATATATATAATTATAGGGATAGTCATCAATGCTGGTGTTAAGGTTTTGGTCAGCTATGGTCAAGCTAAATTTAATGTATAGTATATATACAGTATATAACTGTAAAGTAGTACATATTCTATGGTCGTTAGATAGAATCCCGGTGAGGGCAAATATACTTTTTTGTGGTTTAATTAATTAATTTTATATCTTACTTTAGCTTTATTTACTTTTTAATTCCGCCAGACCCCCATTATATCAATATTTGACCCGCCAGACCCACATTATATCAATATTTGACCCGCCAGACCCACATTATATCCATTTCTGACTCAATAATACTTACAATTGAGGATATATTTGTCATAATGGCAATTAAATATGAGTTTATGCTTAAAAGTATCCTGAATATATATATATAATTATAGGGATAGTCACCAATGCTGGTGTTAAGGTTTTGGTCAGCTATGGTCAAGCTAAATTTAATGTATATTATATATACAGTATATAACTGTAAAGCAGTACATATTCTATGGTCGTTAGATCGAATACCGATGAGGGCAAATATACTTTTTTGTCGTTTAATTAATTAATTTTATATCTTACTTTAGCTCTATTTACTTTTTAATTAAAAGTATTCATAAAAATATTATTTAAAATTATCTAGGTAATATTCATAATTATTAATAATTAATTTTTATAAATTGAATTGATTTACACATTACCAAATATTGTGAACTGTAAAGTATTATTAATCTACCACTCATAGAGTATGTATTACTTTACAATTTTATATACTAAATTTAGCTTGACCATAACTGACCAAAACCTTGACACCAGCTTTTGTAACTATTCCTATAATTATATATTTTATCAGGATACTTTTAAGCATAACCTCATATTTCATTGCCATTATGACATATATATCCTCAATTATTCGTTCATTATAGCAAAACATTGTAAAATTATCTTTGCTTAATATATATATATATTAAATAAGTTTATTAATTTCATTTTTAAAAATGCTACTTGATAATAGAGTACGTTGTCTACTTATAATATATTCATAATTAAAATATAATAATTAACTGATAATATACAATTATCATTACTCAGTAAATCACATTTTTATATTATAATTATATTGATGTTATTGCAAAAGGATATCTGGTAAAATACTTCTATATTTAGGGTCTGGCGGATCAAATATAGATATAATGAGGGTCTGGCGTGTCAAATACTGATATAATGGGGGTCTGGCGGGTCAAATATAGATATAATGGGGGTCTGTCGAGTCTGGGGGTCTGGCGGGTCTGGCGGTCTGGCTGTCTGGCGGGTCTGGCGGTCTGGCGGTCTGGCAATTAAGGCAGTGCCCTTTGTGGCTTACGTGACGGAATGTAACCTCGACTACAATTATCTCGTAAATACAAAGTTTTATATAACAAAAACTGAAATTAATATTTTTATTATGTTAGTATTTTACATAACTATTATAAATAATTATTTGATAATAAAATATTCTATATTTTAAAATTTATAATCACATAATTTTATTCAATTGAAAATAAACACCTTTATCTTAAAATAAATTATACACTGCATAGCACTTATCATACAAATGTTTTTTATTTAGTTGTATAAATCAATGTTAGAGTTTGTGCTACACATTTTTGACTTTATCCTTTTTATAAACAATCTTAACAGGGTTAGTTACAAAACCATATTAATTTAAAATTTTATTTTATTTTTTATAGGTAATAATCACATAGTTTTATTCAATTTAACGTAAGCACCATAATCTAATTATATAAATAAAACAAATTTTTGTATCATACTGGTGTTTAAAAGTTATTTTATTATATTCACTAATATTTCACTTGTTAGCAAAATTTTATCATTTTTATCACTAATTAATTTTGGAATATTCTAACCAGGGTTTATTACATGACCCTATTTCAAATAGCAACCCTATTAAAATTATAAGTTAATTAACATTGTTTAAAATACAATGTTTATGCAGCATTGTATATATTTTATATAATTTCAATAAAAATAGTATAATATATCAGCATTTTTAAATATTTATATAATTTTACATTTACACAGATTAATTTATTTAGCAAGTAAAATTTCGATAACAATTTAAAATATTTATTAATTAAAATTTNTAGCTTAAAATGTTGAAATAATATACAGTACTGTATATGAATGTTAATTAATAATGTGTATAGATATAACATAGATAGTTTGTATTGTTTTTCAAAATAAATATTATATTATTGTTTAAAGTGAACTGATATTACACTTAATATGTGCTTATTATGTGCCTTATCTGGCTCATTTATGCCTCTCATGTGCTTGTAGCTTTATGCCACAAATGTGCGCATAGACTATGTTACTAAGGTAATTATTTTGAAAACTTTTAAAAATTTTGTTATAAAAGCAAACTTATTTTGTTGTTTTAATAACACTTTTATTTGTTATACAAAAATAATAATACAATTAATTAATTAATACTAACCAATTATGAAATACTCAACAATTTTACTAAAAATATTTTTATGCAATATTTTAAATACAGTCTATACTTTTGGTATGTATTTATTAAAATAAAAATGTTATTTAAAAGTTATTATAAAAACAATTTTTTAAATATTTAATAGACTTTAATAACGAAGACTATGCCGCATATCCCGGTGCTAATGGTCTGCCAGTTGTTGGTCAAAAATACGGTAACTTTTAAATACTATAAAATAAAACATTTTTTACAATAATTTTAATTAATATTACAGCTTTTACGTCATACATCACCACAAACATGACTGTATGGAAGTCTATGAAATGTACTGGTTCAAATATAAGCCACGTGCAACTCAGAAATTTAACCTTTTCCACCGAGGTCACATGTAATGGCTACCACTCATGGGGTACTGATTTTGCCTACGATATATTGGTGGATGGTAAATTAGATAAACTACCTATTGGCAATTTATCAGTGTATTTTACTTATTTAAATGGTAAGCTAACTTTAAAATATTTCATACAACATTGCCTGCTATAATAATAATACAGTACAATTCAAATTAATTACCTTTATCAAACAATATCCACTTGACTATAAAATATCATCAATAGCAATTAATTATCTTATTTGTATTATTTCATAATTAATTAGTAAATATATTTATTCTAGATAATAAAAATAGGTCACCATAAATTTCTGTGCCAAGATTAAAATTAAATGTTTTTATCTATTATCAAGGTAATATGTATGAGGTCAATACGGGTACAGTGACCGATGGCCGGTGCAAAGGGGACGTGTTTTTCTCATCCAATGCCTATGTGGCCGATGACCAGTACGGGTGCTCCGGTGGTAAAGGGTCGGCATCTTTCACCATAGACTACATCTACGGACATATAACCGGAACCAAGTGCCCGTCCACCTGCACCCTGGACACCGGGTTCATTAAGTTAGACCCACCTATATCTAATAATTAATATGACCATAGTATGAAGTTATAAATGTTTTATTAATGACCAAGTTCAAATGTATTTTTTTGAGATGGATACAATCAAACAATAAATAAAATGATGCTATTTTTTCGAATATTTAAAACCTAGCCTGTTGTATTAATTTAAAATGAGTAAATACTAGGGAAATATACAGTCTTATAAGTAAGGTTAATCAAGGTCAACTAATATTAAATGAATAAATTATAAGTAGCAAAAATTCTAACACCAACTGTATTATTTAATTTTATTATCAATAGATATTAAAATTCAAAACACTATTAAGTTAAGTGGTTTAATACAATCGATTATACAGTATTATGTACTGTACAATATAAATATTTTTTATTCCCAATAAGTTTAATTTTTTTAATAAAATAATTTTTATTAATTACAGTCTATGTCTAATAATTTCATAATGATACATTTATTGTAACAAAAGTGATGTTAGTGTACCGTACAGGTGATATGCACTTATTATGTCATTTATCTGTAATTCACCTGTTATTTTGTGTACATATATTTATTTCAGGTCATATCCACTTATAATAAATAAATTAATATTCTAATATATAAAATACTATTAAAATAGTATAATAAAGCTTATTCAAAACAACATAACATAATGGGTTTTTAAAATATAAGTTTATTTACGCGAAACTAATTATAAAAAGTATTTAAAAACCTTTTTNAGTATAATAAAGCTTATTCAAAACAACATAACATAATGGGTTTTTAAAATATAAGTTTATTTACGCGAAACTAATTATAAAAAGTATTTAAAAACCTTTTTGTTATAAATAATATTAAATATTGTGTATATCTAATCAATTCAGTCCATATCTATTTAAAATAAATTAACCATTTAAATTATAAACATAATATAAATTTATGGCCATGTCCATTTAGCCCCCAAAATTACTGCCCCCAAAATTACGACCCCAATTTTTCATATGAAATTTTCATCAAAATTACACAGAATCTGCCCCCAGTTTTGATAATATATTCTGCCCCCAGTTTTTCATTGTATTTTATTTGTATTTCGTATGTTATTTATTTAAATATTATCTTTATTACCAAATACCGTAGAATAATTTAATCAAAATTATAAATTTTATTTAATAAATATAAATTTGCTTTATTATATTGCATTACTATTCAAATTTAAATTA